TTAATGTGTACGGAACTATTCCATCAGAATTAAACTACTTTTCACAGCGGTCCAGTAAGAATTATCTCTTATTAATCCAGTGTTACTACAGGAGGAAACCTAAACTAAACTAACTTTATTTATACTGGATAGCTCTATCAATTCTAAACTGTTCTTCCTAGAGAAAACAAGCAGTGCTTGGGACAGGAAGACAATTTCAAATTGCCTACCCTCTCATAGTACTGCCTGCGTGATGAGTCAGTCTGTTGGATGGTGGAGATACAGTAAGCAATGAATATCCCATAACAGGTCGCTCCAGTGGCCATGCTGAAGCAGGTGACAACAACCTCTTGAATATTTTGCGGAGGAAAGCGACCATAACCAATGCACAACATATGAGACATGGCTTTGAACAAGGACCAAATGTACTTCGTGGACCATTGCTCGTTCTAAAATGCGAAGCAAAGATGAAATATTAACTTATTGCCTCCAGATAGCTTTTTTTCAACCGATGTAAGTTCTTGAAACCAATGAAACTAAAGATATGGCGCCAACAATTAACGAAACGAAGCTCTACTTTGATAATACTGAGGTTTAATCTAAGTTTCACCGTATTGTGGGTAGTTTTGGATGGAATTAAAAAGCCACTATCTAATAGATGGCGAAATCCAGCTTTTTCACAACTGGCCACTGGCAGACGAGAGTGGTGCATCATATTTCTCACCATACCGGTTTTTGCAAACATCTGACTCTTCTGATTATTTAGACAATAATGAACGCACTTACTTGGAGATGATGAATCTCAACCCAGGAACTGCTATCGAAATCAGTCAAGGATGGTACGAGGTACTGTAGACATGCATTCCAGTGGGTTACTAACGACATCACGGCGATGAGATTGATGAATTTTATAAACGATTTTGTCCAATTAAAAATCTGCGAAAGAAACGTATTTCTATATAACTCTGAACTAAGTCTGGCAGTGTGTTATCAAGTCTAAAATGGTGCAGGAGTTTCACAACTCGTGACCATGTGCCTAAAGGCTGCTTTCCACTTACGCGTTTTTTATACGCAGGTACACGTACGGAAAATGTTAAATGCTTTTAATTTTTATTATTTAACATTCAGGTCAACTAATGCATACTAAAATATGCAGAAAACTAATTTCCTTCGATTTATTCACTTAGTTTTTTCAAAGGTGACATGTACAAGGATTTAGACTTTTACGTGCGTGTACGTGCGTGTGAAAAACGCGTAAGTGGAAAACAGCCTTAAGGAATGACATAGTTCAACAGACTTACCACTTCATACTGGCTTACGTAACGTACAAGCCTGGAAACCCGCAATAAACGCAGCAGGCTCAAAAGTTTAGCAAGTCTTAGCACTCTGAGAGCCCGCGATGCTCCGACTAACTCGGAGTCTTTATGACGAGTGATGGCAGAGATGATGTAGTCCAGCGGTAAGGAGGAGATAAGATCGACCAAAAACCACGTTCGAAGATATCTGAAAAGTAAGGCAGTGAGGTAAGCTGAGGTGAGGTGAGGTTAGGTGTAGGGAGCATGGGGTGAGGGCTAAGGTGTGGTATGGTGCATGAGGTGGGGTGAAAACTTTGGTAAGGGAAGGGTAAAACTTTGGTGAGGTAAAGTAGGGTGCATAAGGTGAGGTGAAGACTGTGGTGAGGTAAAGTTGGGTGCATGAGGTGAGATGAAGACTGTGGTGAGGGAAAGTTGGGTGCATGAGGTGAGATGAGGTGAGGTGAGGTGAGGTGAGGTGAGGTGAGGTGAGGTGAGGTGAGGTGAGGTGAGGTGAGGTGGGGTGAGGTGAGGTGAGGTGAGGTGAGCCTGGTGAGGTGAGGTGAGGTGAGGTGAGGTGAGGTGAGGTGAGGTGAGGTGAGGTGACGTGAGGTGAGCCTGGTGAGGTGAGGTGAGGTGAGGTAAAGTATGGTGCGTGAGGTTAGGTTAGATATGGTTCACGTGGTTAGTTAAAGTATGACGCATGAGGTGGGGTGAGGAATGAGGTAAAGCGAGGTAAAATAGAGAAGACGAGGGGTGAGGTGAAGTGAGATTAGATGGGGTAGGATGGGATTAGTCTTGGTGAGGTGAGGTAGGGTAAAGTAAAGGTTTGGGAAGGTGTACGAGGTGAAGTGAGGTGGGAGAGGAAAAGTGAAGCAAGACAAATACAAACCCAACCAAATTAAGAAATACAAATTTACTTATTTATACCTCACAGCAATCTTCTTTGGTTCCAAAATGAACTTATAGCTCATGTCGGTCACCATAATTCCAGTTCGAAAGTTAATGATAAGGTCAGTCATAAAGAATACATCTGACAGGATATTAAGGATTATCCAAGACAACGGTAAAGCGTCGGTAAAAAAGGTGATTGCGACCGGTAACGCATACATATTGACAACGAGTAATAACATCATTAACATATTCCAATATAATCTGAAAACAAATAATATGAAAGTAAGTTTTAACCTGTGAGTATAGACCTTTATAAGAAGTCTGCGTTATGACGTAGCTCGGGAACAAAACATGATTCTGATTGGCCAATACGGCCACAGTTGACCAATCAGGATCATGCGGGCAATCATTGACCTACCTAAACGCACTGCAAGGATGGATGATCCAACCAGCGGCTTTGTGTCTCGTCTGCTCGCGTTTCACAGCCTTGGCGCTTCCAAAAAGCTTCGTGTTCGCCTTGTTGTCCATAGGCTGTAGCCATGACAGAATCAGCAGTTGCAAGGCCGAAGGAAGAATGCCAGTATGTGCTATCATTGAATAAAGACACAAATATAACGAGAATAACCTGTTCAGGTGACGAATCCTATGGAATTCGATGCGGCGTAGCAGCGTCTTCAAACAATTCCCATCAAACGTTTTATAACAACTGCCAAGAGTCGACCAAAACACCGTCAAAGGCCTTTTTCGATGAAACTCAGAATAGTCCGTATATGACTAAATACCAGCGAACGCTCTTAAGTCAAAACGTCGAGAAGTGTTTTTGTCTATTTTAGGCAGTTGTTATGCCACATTTGATGGGAACTTGTGGAATACATTTTGAATATTTACGGACTCTCAAAATTTAGCGAATGCGGCTTTTAATGCAAACCTCAAAGTTTTCAAATACATTAATAACTCGTGATTAAATAATAACGTCATAACTGATTGAAATTGTTCAACCGCAGTACACAGACACAACAGTCTGACGTAAGACAAGTTCATTCTACGGACTACGAACGTAAAAATAGCGTTTCACTTTGTTTTCGCAGTGTCAAAAATGCACTATGACGAGGTCCACTGAGCTAAAAATAGACATGGAGTGCGCATCTTCGAGATCTTCGCAAGGGAAGTCCATCAGAACAGGCGACTTTACCAACTCAGTCAATTTCTCAGACTAAAAGTTTCACCGATCTGCTTTTATCCAACTAACATTTAGTTAAAAGCCTATACACTCGTTATATTGTAAAGGTCACGGCAATAACCGGATCATGTACAGCGGCTACCCACAAAACCGCTTTGCACAAACCATTGCATTTGACTGCTTTATCAAAACTTTTTTAAGCGCTTTGACGTTGCCGGAAAACTTTGCGATTTTAAAGCATCTGGTTTAAGTAATACCAAGCATGAAGTGCTGTCGGCGACGGGTCTATGTCAACCTAGTTTATTCCTCTGTACTTTTTAAAATACAAGAGCTATAAAAGTATTAAAGAATGTACCTTTCAGACGAACAGTGCAAGAATTTCGAAGTAGTCAAAACACTTCAAGATTGCTTCAACCCGAATCTTATATCACTTAGCGTTAGTTCAAGTCCCAGTTTCCCGTCGAAGTAATTTTGTAATATACAGGTTTTTTGCGGTCCTAATATGCAGGCGCGATTTAATTGTTCTGCAGTATTTTGCGGGCTAACTGACTCTCTTTTGGAATCCGAATTAATCCCAAAAAATAGCTTTGCTATGTATGTATGTATATGGAATTAGGTATTTCACTTTCCTCGTTATCTTTTATACGGTGTTTTAATTAAGAGGGCAGTTTTAATTAAAGGCAGAAACTCGTAACGATTGCTACGAACGCAGAATTCAACTCACATTCCGTTCGGCATGTTTGCAAACCCGTTTCGATTCTAGGTGCTAGTTTTAGGACAGGCAGAATTAGTTGCTTACAGATTTATTTATCGACGCTACGTCGCTAGCCATACGCAACATATTTTTTACAATATTGTTGATTTTCAGATGGGGCGTGTATTTCTTTCAAACACAGACTCTATTAACTCAAATTTTACGTCCTGGCATAATGGGACGCTGTGCTAAAATCGATTAAGAGAAAATGCCTTTTTCGCCTGCCTGAGAAAGATTATACTCTACAGTACTGCACCACTAAGAATCCGTTTGCGGTAGTTAGTTTGAGGTTTTGTAAGTGCTAGATCAGTAATCGTTACTTCGATTGATGTATTCTCGATCCTTATAAATTTTTCTCTAAGTTGAACAAAGAAGTTACAGAACTAACCTGAGATCTCAGAGAACGTTTCATCTTTCACAGAAAACCTTTCGCCATCATCGATTATAACCTCCTGCATTTCTGCCGTCGTCTCGTCCGTATTCCCGCGACCCACGGCAATCGAGATGAACTGGCTGGTGTTTTCAGGATAAGCGGTTCCCGTCTCCGGGTCTTGTTCGAAGCTTTCCTCCAACGGCATAATTTGGCGCCGGCAACAAGGGCAACGAAATCTCATTGTTTCTGTGTTGCGAATCGCTCAGACATTCGTGTTACCTCTAGATTTCGTGTTATACTTTTTTAAAAAACGACATCTTGCTATTAAATGATTTGTTCTGATTGTGACGTCATCATAGCATGGCTGCAATTGCGCACGCGCGTCATCATCGCGCGCATGTGCGTCACTAAATTTTTTTAACAATCACAACTAACGTTGAAGAATATAAAAAGTTCTGAAGTCAATCAAGTCAGATATTTTAATAAACCTGATACAAAATTTCAATTTGTAATAACTAATCTTTTATCATTTATCAATAACCCTTTATGATAATAGTTCGTTGCGGTCACGTAATCCCCTTCCGGGCGGCCTGATGAATATGTTTGTCCAGTTTCCCTAAATGATCACATGACACTCAATTATCTAATTCTCTCACTGACCTTCTGGTCTACACTGACCTTTCCTTATCAGTTAAACTGAATAAGCTCTATCATCTCTTATTGATCCAGTGTAACTACAGGAGGAAACCTAAACTAAAGTAACTTTATTTATACTGGATAGCTCTATCAGTTCTAAACTGTTCTTCCTAGAGGTCCAGTAAGGATCATCTCTTATTGATCCAGTGTTACTACAGGAGGAAACCTAAACTAAACTAACTTTATTTATACTGGATAGCTCTATCAGTTCTAAACTGTTCTTCCTAGAGGTCCAGTAAGGATCATCTCTTATTGATCCAGTGTTACTACAGGAGGAAACCTAAACTAAACTAACTTTATTTATACTGGATAGCTCTATCAGTTCTAAACTGTTCTTCCTAGAGGTCCAGTGAGGATCATCTCTTTTTGATCCAGTGTTACTACAGAAGGAAACCTAAACTAAACTAACTTTATTTATACTGGATAGCTCTATTAGTTTTAAACTGTTCTTCCTGGAGGTCCGGTTGGAGCCATAATAACAAATTTTAATAATAAAAAGTTTAAGAACTTACATATTTTGTGCTGGCCTTTCACAGGAAATTTGACAACAAGTTCGCGCGGATTTTCAGGAATGAAAACAAATGCGGACGAGGATTCCTCTCCGTCGGGAAACTGACGATAAAAATACATTTACAATTTAACGAAAGACTTAGATCAAACATAACATGACATAATGCGTTACTGTATTGTTGTATATTGAACCATTTCTACCTGTTCGTTATATTCTTGTTGAGTCAGGCACTCCACCACATCAATACAGCCCAGGAGACATGCAGAAGGGTAAAACTCCGGGAAACGAGACTTTTCTCCTGGAGGAAATGGACAAATATGAATGTGGAATACGAGTCGTAATCATGCATTGGCAAACTCGATGCTCACCTAGGGCTTTATAAAATGCTTCCATCTGTTTGATTTCCTCTTGATTGGGCTGTTTTGCCGTTGCAGCGATCCACAGTCTACCTCGGTGAGTCGTGTACCAACTGCGACCCTCTGCCCTGTGTGTAAACAAGATTGAAAGGGTTGCTTTTGCAAACATTTGACAAAATGAAAGGTGTAGAGGTAGCAAACTTTTCAGACTGTTTCACATATTCTAAGATAGCCTTTCGAATTGTGGTTTTGAAATTCGCTGTTCGTGCTTACATACATATAAATTTAAACTACAGCTGGAACTATCTGCTCGTGGCAAAGTTGATTATCTGTGCACAACTGCATTTCACATAACTTCGGTGAAGACAATGGTCAATACGTACTTTTTGATTCCGCAGACCAGTAGAGAAGCCCACGGTTGGTGCATGCTCAGGCACTTTCCTGCAAAAATAAAGAAAATAACCACATGTTGTCTCCAGGATATTGAACAGAGAGGAAAAATCAAAGTTGGTGACTAGTTGTGGAAACATCATTGATGAAGGAAATCAAAGAAAAAAGTCCAGACCCCAGACATCTTAGCAAGGAGATTATCAAACAATAGTTCACCTTCATCGGTCATTTCCAACAATTCTTTGTCCTGTATTCGAAGAGCATTTCGTGACGATTCTTTAACCTTCGTTTTTTTTGCTTTTTCTTTTCTCCCAGACAATGGCGGGTCATCTTCAACATACTGCGGAAATAGACGAGGATTCTTTTTAACAGCTCATTAGTGGCGTCGAGAAGAAATTGATAAAACAGAAGGTAAAGGGGTAGGCCTCGATAACATGGCCTATCCCCAGCCCCCACAAAGCATATGGAGCCTACTATATGTATGCTTGAAGCTTGGTTGATGTACATTACAAAAGTACACAGAAACCATGAACAAACACGGTTGACTAAATATTACAATAATTTCGTAAAAACGTTGTCCTTACCAGAGGTGGTTCAGCGACGTATTTTGGATGATTTGATCCGTGATTGTTGGCAAGGCTCGAATCGTGAAACTCTTCCGCAGACTTGTATAATTCTGGAAGAAACCCAAGAATGTCTTTATTATTGACAAATCTAATGTTGTGTAGAAAGAACCATCAAAAGAAGCTTCTCTAATTTTCACAAAATTTTTTTAGGATCGGCTTCCAAACTAACCTACCTCTCTCAAGCCACCCCCCGGTAATATTTCAAAAAAGTTCACCTCCCCCTCTTTGTTGTATTCTCCAGAAATTTTCACATCGCTATATGATTGCGCTGCATTTCAAACCGCCGCAAAACGCGCAATTTACACGTATCCCCGCCGTACAAATGCCCGCTCACCGTTTATTTCCTCCGTCGGTTTCTCTTCGATAATTTTCCTGCCGGCAAAATCTAACGTAACCTTCTTGTCTCGTCTCGAACCGTGCTTCAGTTTTTGTAACTTGTCCTCCTTTTCTTTCAAAATTTTGCGCTCTTTCTTGCTTAGCCATTTTGAATCCGACGCAAAATAATCGGACTCGTCGTCGATGACCTTCGTACGACGAACACTAGATACGAATCCAGAGAACAACGTTTGGAAAACCGTCCACTTTAGACTGAGTAAAATATTGCGTTATCAAAGTTGTGCAGTCATAGGTATAATAAACGTTAGTCCAGTTGCGTTGTGAGTTCAGTGACGTTAGTGATCGCGAAGCATAATGTACCTGGTAGTTGAACTCACAACGCAACTGGACTAAATTTTATAATTTCAAAAATATTTATTGGGATTCCTATGGTACAGTCCATAATGTAAACAAAGGTTTTGTTTACATTTTGAAACCGTATATTTCCTAAAAGATCAAGAACTTTCAGTCAGATATTTGACATGCTTTTAGTTCACAATACCCGGGTACTTCTATATAAATATGAGAGAGAATTTATGTTCAGAGATATACAAAGAATCTGAAATTTGAGCAGTTTTGAAAGACATTAACTATGCATTGTTATGAGCAGAACTGATGCACAGAAGCAACTGTAAGCCCCTTGAAAGTCGGTGATACCACAAACAAGTGATGTTTTGTTTATTACCTTGTCCTATCATATTCCAGTAATCTGTCTTTGAGTTCAGTTGCTTTACGACGTTTTAACTCCTCCTAAGAATATCCACATTGAAAAAACCAACCATGAAACAAAAATCTGCAAATATGAATCATTATGGTTCAAATCCTTACATCTTCACTTGCTTTTGCATTCCAGCTTTCCAACAACTTTTCTTTCAGCTTTTGACCCCGTTTGGAATTCTTTGCCAGTACTTCCCTTTCTTCAGCTGTGCAAACCACCTCACCACAAAAATAACATGGACCTAGGGAAACCAGAACATCATAAGAGGTGACCAGAAATGATCCTTACTGGACCTACAGGAAGAACAGTTTAGAACTAATATAACTATCCAGTATAAATAAAGTTAATTTAGTTTAGGTATCCTCCTGTAGTAACACTGGATCAATAGGAGATAATCCTTACTGGACCTCTAGGAAGAAAAGTTTAGAACTGATAGAGCTATCCAGTATAAATAAAGTTCGTTTAGTTTAGATTTCCTCCTGTAGTAAGTAGTAACACTGGATCAATAAGAGATGATCCTTACTGGATCTCTAGGAAGAACAGTTTAGAACTGATAGAGCTATCCAGTATAAATAAAGTTAGTTTAGTTTAGGTTTCCTGCTGTAGTAAGACTGGATCAATAAGAGATGATCCTTACTGGATCTCTAGGAAAAACAGTTTAGAACTGATAGAGCTATCTAGTATAAATAAAGTTAGTTTAGTTTAGTTTAGGTTTCCTCCTGCAGTAGAATGGGATAAATAAGAGGTTATCTTTACTGGACTTCTAGGAAGAACAGTTGATTTTAAAAGCATGGAAGCATACATACCAGAACCTTCTTGTTCACAGACAATTCTTCCGCACTGTAGACAGTTATTAACCAGACTATGTTTCTGCCCCAAACATTCACATGGATGCCGTCCTGGCAAACGCACGCTGCTTCTTGCTTGTCCTTCATCACTGTAGAGCGAGATAAAATGTGATGATTTCTTCTTCACTGGAGATTGCTCCCCTTTCGTCACAACTGTTTGCTTCTGTATTTCATTACCAGATCCAGAATATTGAGAGCCATTCTTCTTTGGCTGCCAAGGAAGAACATGACAATTTTAGATCATTCGAACTTTCTCACCTCAAAAGGAGAGGCCGCCATTGATTGAGAAACATAGATTTGGGCACTGGGCAGTTCATCTAAATTCTAAATAACCCATTCTAGATCTGTACAAGCACCACAACCAACCTTATCAATTCGTTTTTCGTTTTGTTTTTTCTTCCCTAAGATATGCCAATTGAGGAGCAGTTGTTTCACGAATTGCTGCACTTTCACGTCATCTTTATCCAGCAATTGAAACAAATACTCTTCCACATCTGGTTTGCTCTCAATCGAGAACAAGTATCTGACAGAAAGCGGTGAATATTCTCAGAAAACATAACTATGTTATGGAAGATTGCTGTAAGTTTTATTTTGCAAGGTACTTACTCCGAAAATTCGCGTCCAACATCCGTGCTAAGCAATTTTGAAAGTTCATTTCTGCACCATTGCTTGAATTTGTCCACCATATTGCTTTGCGTGGAGCCCTCGCGCGATTTAAATTGCTTTCGTGGACTAAACAGACGCTCGAGTATTCGAATTCATGGTTAATATTGATTGGTGAACAAACTTCGTTTGATGATGTTACACGAAGTGTGATTGGCTCCGCGATGCTGAGACGAGCCAATCAAACTTTTTGTAACATAAGGCCTTCCGCGTTTGACTGACTCATAAAAAAGGTCTATGAAGACCTCCCTGGATTCTATTATATGGAATACGAATAAACATATTTTTCAATCATGAAAATTTAATTTGTGTCAAACATCGTTATTGAGTGTATTATGGTATCCATCATTTGTGCACGGTGGAATTACAATGAATTAAGCCACACAGTAGCATTTCGGGGCAAAGATTTAAATATATTTCGGGTTCTGTGCAAGTTGCTACCCCGTAAACTCGTCCTGGGCGTATTTACGTGAAGCGCATTCACTTGTACAAAAACAAACCGCTTCTCACTACTCTATGGGATACACACGAACACCAGCAAATCGTTTAGTTTCAAAAAACCTTCAGATGAGCAGTTCCCTTTACAATAGATTCCAAACCAGGTAGATTTAGAGTGTCTCTTTATAAATTATAAGGAAACCACGAGTTGCAGGTAGTATAAATGCAGTTCTCAATACTTTTTCTGCGACGTAATTTTTGGTAGCATCAAAGTCGTCTCATTATTGGTACACATCCAGAACATCATTTATATCGCGACGTTTTCTACGGAGACCCAGATTTTGAATCACGTTAAAAACATCCAGAGCTAGAGAAGGGTACGTTTTCAGGAAAATGTTGCCATCGAGATGACCCTGTACCTTTGGGGTCCTCTCACGCTTGTGGGCGTATGCATTTCTGAGGAATCGTAACAGATAAATTATATCGTTTGTTTTATACTTTTTATCCGGATGAGCTTGAGTTACTTCTTTATAAATAACTTGTATTTCTCTACTCCACCCATCCCAAGGGTAGCCATGATGCTTAACGTGATGGCCTATGCTTGTATTCCGCAAATCTTGCACTAGACATGAATTGTAATAGTGGTATGGCAAGGCGACTTCATCTTGGTTACCAATCACTTTGAGAAATTCGATTTTTTTTCTATCGCTCCAAAAAAATGGTTTCTCGATGAGGTTGTTCACTCTTGAACGTGTGTTAGGATCTTCATATAAAAGGCCCAAGAAGAAACTGGTGCATTCAGGATGGGAAACCCCATGTCTTTTGAATGTATCTTGCATACGGTCATAACAATTAGACGCAAGTTCGTCAGGCTGTTCATTCTGTACAACCTCAAAAGGATGACCACCCAATGTATAAAGATAGTATAGGACCAATCCTAAGGAAAAGATATCTGATTGCTTGGTATGTTGGATAGGTGCTTGCCTACTAACTAGTAGTTCTGGCGCCATCCAACATTGCCTACCTTTACCTAGCCTGCGCCGCAGACCCATGCCCGAAATAGAAAGGCGGGGAAAAAGAGGGTCTGCGTATCAGAGCCAAATTTCGTGTACTGTAATTTATGCAAAATGTGACGTAAATTGAAATTAGTAATTAATTTTCGCATTTTATGCACGAAACATTTATGATCAAATTTCACAATTCACATGTTCGTCGATCTTCCTTTGAGTCTGCAACAAAAACCTTATTGTCTTTTTGATCTTCATTAACAATTTGCAATGTAAATGCCAATGTCGAGTACTCACGAGTGTATCCTTTGTAAAGAGATTATCGGGAGAGCGAAGGACAAATACCTAGTTCAAGGACGGAGCAAAGAAGACTTTGTGTTTGAGCTTACTGCTATTTGAAATCAAACGCGCCGCGAGCCGAATTTTTACCGTTGTTTATTAGCAGTCAACGTTACTTTAACCTCTACTAAACGTTACGTTCACCCACACTCAACGTTACGTTGGGGCTATTGTCAACGCAACGATTCACGAGTGATTATCAACGTAAGATGTTGTATATTCCTACATTTATATAAGATTCACTGCACACTTTCGCCAGTAGAGTGTTTACATCTACATCTACATCTACAAACGTTAGGTCGGTAAAGTCCATATCCGGGTATCACACCAACCAATACTGAATACTGAATAAAATTAGCCAACAATAAAATGCGTATGTTTTGATTAGCCAGTTCTAATGAGTTGACGGTTGAAATATTTTTTAAACTGTCACTCAAATCATCGTGTATATTGAATCAGAACATAAAGTTGATCAGGGCAGAACTTAACGTTGAGTAGGGGTGAACGTCACGTTGGCTGCTAGCAAACAGCGATAAAAATTCGGCGCACGACGCGTTTGAATTTTAATTGCAAATAGCAGTAACAGCTTGCCATTTGTTGTTGACTCCCACGAAAAATATTTTTATTATTCCACTCTAAACCAATCAAAGCTTTGTTGATCGTGAGTAACCAATTAGGCTTCGTAATTAAATATGTAGCCAATCACACAGCGTCCCCCAGATTCTGGGGATAAATAATTATAGAACACGGAATTTGGCGCTGTTACATAGACGGTATTTCCGCCATATTCCGTCTATGCGTAGACTAACCTTTACCTCGTTCTGAATTTATTGCGAGTGACGACATGTTCCTAGTAAATCCAAGGTCGGCGATTTTGAAATGCAAAGTTGGTTCGGTTGCATATAAGACATTTGCAGGGTTTAGATCTCGATGAATGTAATCATTGTCATGAAGATATGCCAAACCAGTTATGATATCTTTCATAACTCGCAATTGTATCGCTCGGTCATTTTTCACAACATGTCTGACACTGTCATTTAAAATGAACTCATTGAGGTCGCCGTCCATAAGAGCAAGAGCAATATAATGGTAGAAATTATCGGCAAAATTGTGGTAGTATCTGATGATTTTCTCGCATCCTTCAGACAAAGAAATAAGGTTTTTGATTTCGCGTTGGAACTGGTCTCCGTTAAGCCTTGCCTTCTCCAGTCTTTTCAACGCGATGGCACTACAATTAATCGTACCAGATTCAGTCGTGAATTCATCTCTAACAGCAACAAAGACCTTGCTGAATTCACCAGAGCCAATTGGATCCTGACTACCATAACGATATTTCCCTACGATGGTCACTCCAGTTGTGTTGTCAACTAAATGTTGCGCTTTGTCTTGATGTCTTCTAGGACATGATCGTAATTTTCGCTCATCATTCTCGATTGCGCCCCAATTGATAACCTTCTCAGCAATTTTTTTGTTGCCTTCACTATGCCGATACTTTTTTGCTGCACAAAGAGGAGTATTTCCCTTCGAATCAATTGCATTCACATCTACATTATTCCGAAAAAGTATTTCCATGCATTTCAGAATGTCCTTTTCGTAAAGTACTCTTTCATTGTTTGAATCACCAAGGAGCACATGAAGAGCATTTTGACCTTTGTTGTTCTTTAGTTTCATGGTATTCGCATAACGTAAGATCACTGTTACCAATCGCATCAAACATTCTCGCAGTCTCGAATAGCTTAGAGTAATGTTGAACGGCTGTTCTAAACTATAGGATGCTACCCGAATGGTAATTAATACTACATTGATAGGGTAATTACCGTTCTCATCTGGAATGCGAAGCGCGTCTTGGACATCTTTGTTATCACGCACTAAGTTAATAAATTGCTGAAACATATGTGTAGCCTCTTTCGTTGATACTTTCTTTATGTGCTTCATCCATTCATAATCACCGTTACTGCAACTGAAGAGACTTCTCATTTCCGCAAACGCAGACGTTTTTTTAAATGCTAACACAGCCAAATTCTGCAGCATCGTTAAAACCGGTGTCGCTCCAGCGTGATTAGTTATTCCGCAGCGATTTCGCAGGCTTTCGAGAGAAACTTCTGACGAGTCTTCTTTCGGGAGAAAAATCTTGAACACTTTGGGATGGAAAGCATAATGAAGTGCGGTACGTCCGTCGATATCTTCATGGAGAAAATCAGTTTGGGTACCGAAACAACATAATATGTCCAAAAAGAAGCTTGTGAGTTGAAAGTCGCTTTCAACATTTAGTATAGACATTAGGTGTGCCCATTCATGCATTACAGTATTACCCAAACTATCTTTGGTACTAACCAAGAAAAGCAATTGTTTTTGTGTTAATCCGAGATCTTTTAATCCGTTAAGCGTTTGTAATATTGCATAGCGTTCCTGCACATATCTGGTGGAATTTATGGTACAAATTAAGTAATAGAAGTATTCGTTTTCGGACACCCATTTCACAATATCCCCCGTGTCCTCTTCTACAAAACTCCAAGAAATTGTGTGAAGAAAATTTCTGTGATTACTGTTCAACATCATCGGTTCTATGCCAGCCTGTATCAAATATTTTACCAATGGCACGGTATTGTCATTTTGTACATAATGGCCTGGTAGTGAGGAGACGAGGTGAAGAGGGGTATTGCCCATTTTGTCTTTGCAGCGATTCAAGTCAGGGAAAATATCTTTCATCATCTTGCAGGACATAACAAGAAACCTTTCGCGATATGTTGCTATGGTTTCCATAATACTTCCCACAGTTATATACGTTTTATTATTATGGCGGTAAACAGTTTCCCTTTCTCCATCTACACTGTATGTAAGGCGTACCTTAGGATGCTGTCCTGGAATGTGTTTAAGACCCGGAACATTCTTGAGAAAATCTGGCCATTCTTGTTCACTTACATTACCAAAGCCAAAAAATTTCATCGGTGCATGGCCAGTTTTTTCGTTAAATATTTTGTATAAGGAAGAATAATCAATTGACTGCAAACGATGATTGAAAACAATGTTGTACAACAATTCTTCCGTAACCTCAAGAAGGAATGGTTTCACAAATTCCATCATTTCAACACACCGAGCATTAGCTAATATTCTTAGCTTAATTAAAAATTTCTTTCTATAAGACAAATTCTAAAATATAGCCAAATTCACAGAAAATTCTAGCCCGGCGTTGTCTATTGTGAATATAAGTCAACAAACGACGTTTCTAAGGAAGCGACGACAACCTGCTGATTTAAATAAAAAAAATAACCAATCAGAAACCAGTTTTGTCGAGGCGCCTCATGACGTCATCACAACAAATACGGGAAAATTGGAAAATACATTCATTCCGTTCACCTGTTTTTGTATCTGCGAAACGCAGATATATTGTCATGGCAAACGTATCGTATGTTAACACATAACCATTCAGCGATTAGTTTATAACGCGCTCACATCACAACATAAAGCATGCAGAAAATATAAACATATAGTCATATACTCGTGAGTCGTGTGACTCATTATTGAAATTTTGGCTTCCAAAAAATTATGTTCTGTGTTTTTTTATCCAAGTTTTTCTGAACATGGAAACTTATCGTCATGAGGTAAATAATCAATCTCTTCGGAGATCAAAACAATCTCTTCGGAGATCTAAACAACGATTAACGAAATCTAAAGAAATTCACCAACAAAACGTTATACATTTATATTGTATAGATAGCAGCTGTGTTAGGTGTATAAATTCAGGTCACTATACGCGTAGCTGCTGTTGTCGCCACCGACCAAGCGATCTAAAGACCCCGTGCACCTTCCAGAGAAAGAGAAAAAGTAGATCCACTTTATTAAAGCATACATGCTATACATATATTTATACCCTTTCATCATATAGTGATAAGTGTTCACTAATATTTGTGTAACATGCTAAGACTTTTTCCCATTTTTTTCATCGGTTCACCATAAAAATTTTCCATATTTGCAGCATGCATTTCTTAGACCCCGTTTACACTAGAACGAAAGTTTCCGGATTCATCACGAAAGCGGAATGTTTTAGTACCGGATTCATGTTGCTGTTTACACTCGCAGCAACGAATCCGATAGAAAATGTACTCGGTTTTTATTAAGCCGTATCCGGAAACTTTGAATCCGTAAAAGTTTGTGGAAACTTCGTATCCAGAAACATTTGAATCCCGAAAATATAATCTTGTGTAAACGCTTTGCACGACGAATCCGAAGAAATTCAATATGACGACCAAACAATTTTCCAAGAACAAGTAATGCGAGTGTAAACGGACAAATCCGCTTACAACTAGTTGTATTAAGCTTGTTTAGCTTAAACGCGGTGGATAAGTCAAAATTAAATAACACTTTTCATCTCTCTTGAATGAGTCAACTTGAATATTATGCACTGAATATGTAGTGGTAAACAGTATCTTTGTATTGTGGTTAAAAGCATTTAGTTTTGCTTGTTGAATAAAACGATAGACTTGCTTTCTATTTTGAACTTAACCACCGTTTAAGCTAAACGGGCTTGATACAACCGGCCCCTGACGAATTCGATACATGTGTAACAATGAATCCGGATAATTTTACAAATCCGGAAACTTTCGTTCTAGTGTAAACGGGGTCTAAGATTAGATGTCAAATATTAAGAAATTACAAGTAATCGACATTACTCATTCAGTCATGCACCCATTAACGCTTTTAACTTGTCTATATAGTTAAATTTTGAGCTATTGTTGAGTAATAGAGGTTGAATTTGTCTTTAATCTTCAGGCCTGATTGACACTAGCTCCTAAGAATCGGGGATCCGTTGTATTATTTTCCGATAGACAAAGCATTTCAGCGCACAAGTGACCTCAGACAAAGGAAATTCGAGTGAGAAATGTATACTAGTATGCATTGTTTTGACTGCTGTTTTTTATTATAAAGATATAATAATCTCTGAACAGCAATACGGCGCAGTACAATATTAATATATAATGTAATATAATATACAAACAAATTTGCCAAGACGCACGGTTGGCAACTGCTACCCGACAAAAATACCAGCTCTTTGTCACTATAGTATAAGCACTAGCTACACTTTCTACAATACGACCTTATATTAGTGAATGGTGGTTAGAAAAAATGTAGGCGCCGTGAGTGTTTTTCGAAGTTGATAAGAAAATAAACACGTTTTTCTTTCAAAGCTGACCAGACTGGCGTCTCACGTTGAACGGTTTGAGAAGAAACAGTCATGAAGCAACACTCTAGGATTCAACAACTCGGCAAAACGTACAGCAAAATTCTCACCGAGTTATATCGCCTAAATGTACTTCAACTGCAAGTATTGAGTGAAATTCATTACTTTTTCGGAACAGTTTTTAGTCCAGTCAGTGAGCCACATTCGGTTCGTGCTGTCACACAAGTTCAGGTACATTTAAAATTTCAAGTTTTTTTTCACTTTTTTCCTTTGAAATAACTAAGGTTGAATAAGGCCATGGAAGTTATTTTTTAAAAGAATCCTTCGATGAAAAGGATGATTTTTGTGTAATTTTCCGTTCAGCAGCATAAATTTAACTTCCGTTGTTAAAACAAGAAATTTGTCGCAACATTGTGACCATTTCAGGTTCACATGTGGGTTTTCTGGTCAAAATTGGTGAATTCAAATTTGTCTAATTCGCGGAATCAAGATGTCGTCATTTGCACGAGCCGAATGCCACTCACGGGAGTTGAAACTGCAAGAATTCGACGCAGTTGGCTAAACGCGGGTTCACATGGGCAATTTTAGTTCCGGTTCTCTTCTTTTGACAGATGTGATCGAGTGGATTAGTTACGGATGTTCAAATAACGGCACAAAAACACACACACAGAGCATTCATAACTATTCACTCGTCCGCATCTGTCAAAAGGAGAATATTGCATTTAAAATCGCAGTAAAAATCGCCCGTGTGAACTGCCCTTCAGACTTCTTGCAGTAAAAATGAATATCACTTTAATGTTTAGTTTCTCTGAGCGTAATGCTTACTGTGGTATATGCTTTTGAAAAGCAATACGAAATAACATTTACATTTTAAGGTTTGGTTACATTTGTTCCTGCAAGTTGCCGCTGCATTCTGAAACTCACTTAAGTTCCTGTTGTTTTTGTCTTGGGTACACTATAGGGAATGTAACAAGAAGTACTGAGTTCTGATTTCACATCTGGGATTTGGAAAATGGAAACGATGACTGCTGTAAAATCGAACCATGTTTCTTTTTTTTTTTCGGAGGGAAGGGAATTAATTTCGGGGACAAAATGCATTGAAATTTGCAGGAAAGCAAATTGTAACCACAGTCATTTGAATACAAAGTTAAAAATTAAGGCTGAAATTACAAAAAATTGGAACTAAAATAAATGACCCAGAAATTTGCAGCAATGCTTTTCGGCTACAACCAAGTCCTCCTTTAACGTGATGTAAACACACGGCCAATTACAAAATACGGTTGTATGTGACTTAGACTAGCTTGTAAATTGGCACAGAAGTGTCCACCTTAGGTACCTTTCATTTGTTTTAGTCCATGGGTAAAAATATCATTATTAATGTTAGTGTTCATGAATTTCTATTCCACCTACATTGGTAATGTTTTGTTACACTTTCACAAAGTCCGCTAACTATGTATTCTTAACAACTGTGGTGATGTAACTTTGCCTTAGTAATTACACATTTCATATTTACACTAATATTCACACACTTGTAGGAATAAGCGTAAAAATACCAAATATAGTCCTAAATTAAGCCATCTTGGTAGCAAGTTATGAAAACATGCGATGAAATTGCTCTTTTAAAAAGAGCCGGATAATACTATGTCTATATGATACGTTTATGATAAACATTTTATGAAGAACTAAATATATACAAACTCTCTGACCTTCAAAATGAACTGGACTAAATAGGACGTACAAATAAGCCAGAAATTTAGAACCAAAATAATAACCGTTTTTAAAAAATACGCCTAAAGCAGTGAGATTTCTTATATAATATAAAAAGGCAACGGGAAGTTTACGGGAGGTTTAGTGAGATTGTTTGCAATATTTTTCCTATTGAACAGAAGTGATCCAGTTATATTTTAAGGTCAGAGATAAAAGCTGTATAAAACATTGTTTATGTTACCATGACTACTGCTAACGCCATCTGTCATTATGATTCGCGTCCAGTCTTACGCGTTTCGGATCGCCTCCGTCCAGACCATCTTTCTCGCGCGGTCTGCGATTGTTGAACGAGGTGGGCGATAGCGAGGACCGGGACCCCGGTGACACGGGATCATTGTCCGAGGGGGGTTCAGACTTCACCACAACCTGCATATTTGATACCGGGATGCGACGGTTTGTCATTCCACCCCCACCTAATGAATTCCCCCTGGAAAATTTGCAGATTTACTTCAGACTTTGTTTGAAAACATTGTTCAAGATTTTACTTGTAATTTTCCAAGCGAGAACTGACTACTAATTACCCACTACACTTTAGTCTATTAGAATATAATGAGTTTACTGGCATAACTACTATATCAACACACTTCCCAATCTCTCCACCCATACCCTCCACTCCCCCCATACCCCTCACTCCCCACCCATACCCCCACTCCCCACAACAATAAAATTTACCCTTACCCTTGAAGCATGCCATGTTGCATGGCCATCTGCTGGGCAAAGAGGTGCTGATTGTGCTGCAGTGTCAAATAAGGTGTCGATACGACACGAGAATTGCTTTCTCCCGACTCCATGGAAAACTGGTCATAGGATGAAGTGTGAAACGAGGGGCCGGAGTGGGACATTGGTGTATTGATAGGCATTACAGGGGTACTCAATGGATTGGAACTAGAATACGAAGGGGTACTCAGGGATATAACGGGTGTTATGATGGTGTCACTGTTTGAGCCGTGAACTCCCCCTGTTCTCGTGTTTTGACTCTAAAATCCAAATTATAACATTACAATGAGAATTTGGATCAAATTAATTCAAGTAGGTGTGAAATGTGCCAAATTCCCCAAATTCTTGACCAGATATTCCTCGATGCGCAGATATAAATCCTGGTCAGATTGCTCTTCTCAATTAACGAAAAGCTCTTTAGATGAATAAAAGTAAAAAAATTCATACCAAAGGATTTCTTGCATTCGGAATGACCACTTTTAGGTCGGGTCTCTTCGAGACCGATGATCCCCCGGAATTGCTTGAATTATTAAGCGAAGAATTCATTGAGGTCGTAATTCCAGGACTTGTAGCACCTGAAGATATAGAAACATAATTAATAAGGCTTTGTATAGTGCTGCTGTTATCCACAGATTTTCTCTAAGGGGGGCAGGGGGAGGGATGAGCATCTGTCGGCAAAAGCCATCATCATATACGATTATACATTTTAAAAAGTTTAATTTAAAACAAGAGCATTTTTATAGTGAATTTCGCCAGCTTTGGCGTAGCATTTGCGACATTATTTAGGAATTTTGCGACATTATTGGACAAGTTATAATAGTTTGAATTACACTGGAGCACTCAAATACAATGTCAGATGATGTTTTTTCCCGGCGACTTCATTTGTGGCGATTGTCTGCAAAATGTCAGCCGAAGGAGTGATTTCTCCACATTTTACCTGGATTTTTTACTAGTTGCTGTCTGGGGCAGGTTGTCTACAACTCCTAAACTATATTTTGAGTAGTAAAATCGTAGTTAAGAATAAACGACTGTAAAACACACGACTCTAATTGGCCAATTCTGTCACGAATGATAGTTGGTGAACTATCTGATTAGAACACACCTCGGCCTTTTTGAAGGATGGCTTTTGCTACTCAGGGGGTATTTTATTGCCTAAACCTTAGGGCGGGAAATAAGATGAATGCTTTCAGATTTAAGAAACATCGATGGTCATTCCAGATTACATTTGTCTCCCGCTTAAAACCACAGTTTTATCATACCAGGGGCCGGTTGTATAAAACTCCCTAACTACACTTTGCATAGTTAAATCCTAGTTAACTCAGAAATACACAACTCTGATTGGCCAATTTTAGCCTTAACTACAGTTAAAAGCTAGCTAGTCTTTTATACAACTGGCCCCAGACGTAAAAAGAATTTTTAAATATAAAATTGGGGAGAGTTTGTTCTGCTGGTCCTGGGCTACCTAGCAGCCACCCCTTTCAACGAGCTCAGTTTATCCATTCATCAATAACAAAAGATTACCAAAAAAATCTTATTAAAATAAAAATAATTTAATTTATTATTTTAAGATATTTAATTACACTTTTCCCTTAAAAAGAATAACCGTTACTTGAACTATATTTTATTTTATTAGCCCTTGCACTTCGTTAATTTTCAATTTAAATTCTTTAAGTTTTGTTTTGCCAAAAAGTTAATCATTTATAAAGATTTTAAACATTAATCTGTTACCATTCCAAACGTGGAAAATCTACTATTTACTAGCCCTTATATTTTAATAAAACCACAATTTAGCTATTCTAAATAAACAGAATTTTTAGCATTGCTAAGTTAAAAATTAATGATTTAAATGATCGATTTTTAAATAACCTATTCGCTGAATATTCGTATTTACATTATATCTAGCTTCCACTTAATTAAAGAAAATATCCTCAGGGATCCATTAGACCAGGAAATCTCAGGCATGCAGGTAAATGCGGGTAAAGCGGACGCAGAGAATCAAGGGACGGCGGCTTCCCATGAATCCCTAGGAGCATCTAGTATGCCTTAGATTTTACGGGTTTAGAAGACTCCGAAGTTGATAAACTACCATAATCCCAGCATCTGATAAGAGATGCACTGTACATTCATAATAACAATTAAAGTTCACGCGTGAGTTCACGCGTTTAAAGTCAAATGTCACGTCCGTCGTCAATGTCAAGGTCAGTCATTGTGCTAAGAGAAGAACACCACGTTTTCTCTAACCTGTAATACGTTGCATGCCTCCCCCTGATTGCGGACCAGCAGAGAGTCTTCCAGAGGGCGGCGGCGGGGGGGACAGCAGGCCAGAGTTGTTGGGTCCAGGTGTTCCTTGATTACTAGGGTGGCTCGGACCGGTGTTATATGAACTGGAGTGATCATTTTGAGTGACCGGTACGGCAACAGGAACTGCGTTGAACCCATCGGCCTAGAGAGATAGTTGGACCAATTAAAGGGATTGTCGAAGTTCGTTCGCTTCGCTTGTTTTCAATTCCCTCCTTTTGATGGATGCTAATGAGGGCCAAGGTTCGGCTCAGACATATATACTCAGTATTATAGGCAGTTCGTTCATTTACATCAACCAAAAGAAAATCGTATTCAAAGGGAAACAAAGAGCGATGATACGTAACTGGAGTTATAAAAGAGCAATTGTGGGCAAGCATTTCGTCCATTTTGCCCGTTTATTTCTTCCAAAACATACCAAAAAGGCCAAAGTGATAATGTCGGCAGTGGACCGTAATTTCTGCATATACTTACAGGGGCAGGATTCAGCCTGTTCTTTCTCATCATCAAATCAAATTCTTCATTAATTTTCTTGTACTTCGCCTCTGTTCCAGGCGTCAGAATGAACTGCTGTTTTTTAGAAAAACAATGTTAAGTCAATTGATTTGACCCGTTGGTGGTTATACAACAGGGTAACACTGTAACAGATCTTCCAGTCTACGAGTGAGCTCTTGACACGTTCAACGTCAAGCGTTTTTTTCAGCAATACAAACTAACCTTTTCCGAGTCGTCAGGAGAAGGCATGGATTTGTTTTCCTTCTTTGAAATAGTCTAAAAAACAGACAAGCATTTTTAAAAAAAATTAACATTACATTAACGCTTATTCCTACGAGTGTCAATTTTTACGCGTTTTTATTCTCCACTCGGTTCTAATTAATTCAGGTTACCCGAGTGTGTTTGAATTGTGACCTCGAGAATACCTCTCTGGGTACGAATTTTGACATTCTGACATGTAGGTATCAATTCTGATATTCAATACCCCAAATATTTGGATTTCACTCGAAATGAAGGCTGTTAATCGTCTTCAATCAGAATGATCCCAGACCTTACGCAGAATAGCCTTCTAAGTGTTAATGACGTTCTAAAGCTCACAACCCCCCCCCCTCAACACCACAAGACTAACCCCCCGTCCTTGGCACAATATCGATGTAGTTTGAGTAGTTTCATTCCCCCATCAACAGAAAAGACACGACGGTGTTTCTTACCTCCAAAATATCATTATTCGTTCGGCTCTCGTGCGGTTCGTTATATTCCGTGTACTTCAGCAAGATCTTATCCATGTCTGTGCTTGCATACTGAAACAGCTTGTTGCTGGAGTTGAATATTATCAAAGCTATTTCACAATCGCACAAGATGCTTAGCTCGTACGCCTTTTTCATCAAACCAAATTTCCGTTTGGTGAAGGTCACCTGGAAAGGAAATACAGGAATATGAGAATCTTCTTCAGTTTTCCTATATGGAAGTACGGTGGGTAAGCGCTTTTGGCGGGAAAACTTGCAATGAATCATTTCTCTGTTAAACTTAAAACTAGGGGAAATTCACGAGTATAGCTTGAAAGAGCATCCTAAACTTAGTAAAAGAGGAAAGTTTGGTCGCAAAATATTGCAAAGTGTAAAAAATATAGCTTAGCATCGCGGGCGAACAAGAAACAACACGAATCACAAATGTCTTTCCCGGAGTTAATTTGACATAGTTTTTTTGCCATTAAAACAACTAATAGTCGTTTTAAATCTACGGCAACTCTCCCGTTTAGTTTTTTAACTTCTCTTTCCCAGCGGGGATCGCATATTTCAAAAGGTGAGAAACGGCCTGCATGCAAGCACTGCGATCCACGAGTGTTTTTATTAAAGACAGGAAGCGATTAACTTTATTCTTAAGATAACTCGCCCCCCAAGTGTGCCCTTCATTCGAGTGTTTACGGCAAATGAAAATAGAAACGGCTTAAGTTTTAAAAATAGCACGGAGCAATTATCCGAAGCAGCTAAAGAACGTACACGCGCTTTCTCACGACGATTTTAGCTTTTCCTGGATGTTTTTAAAGTTTTTAATGTTTTTAATAACGAATGTTGCTGCTCGATGTCGTAACTATGGCGACGTTTCGCTATCGTCGTTACGAATATCATCAACGTACGTCCGAATCAGTGTTGTGTGTAAGGACACATTATATATTTAACAAGCCCTCAGGTTGAGATCAACTATCAAGTTTTCCCACGAGTTGCAGAATGATATCTGACACCGTTGGACATATTAGGTGTGTTTGTATGCTTAACGACTGAAAACTATCCATATTGTAGGCAAGATAAGATTTCTTCGTTGTAGTGAGATGGAAACAAGACTGCTCTGTTGTAGGTTTCGTGTGTGTGGTGTCTTTTTTTCGCTTTTTTTATGCATAATTGGATAGTCGAAAAGAGCCTTTGAGTAATCATTATAATTAACTGAGCCTCCCAGTCAAGCAGTGTCTCTTTACATTCATTCGTTGGCGAGACGTTCAGACGCGTTCTCATTTAGCATTCTGACGAATTTGTTCATCGATGGTTTGAAAGATTACATTGGGAAGCAATAGAGGCTAATCACTTATATTAACTGCCATAAATCATCGAGAATGGAGACTTTTATACTAATTTTTACTCTGTCTAATGGCAGACGACTTTTATTGAACTTGTCAATTGCAGAATATGGAATTCCAGTCAATGAGTAATATTGCAAATTGCATTTCGTAACTTCACAAGTGCAAAACATGCAAGCAATATATCTTCACAAAAAAATCATACGATGTATAATTTCCCACGACCTGATACCGAGCTTCTGGAAACGTCCAAGTCATCAAGATTCAGGCAGCTTTAGAGCGTGTTAGACTGGCCACCTGTCACAAAGCACAAAAAAATTCGACCTTTGAACGCTCTTTAGCTCTCATTTCGTCTGGAAGATATATTAGGCTGAAAAATCCTGGTCGAACTCCCAATGTGCCATATGTTGACATCTGCTTGTGTTTTCCCGGTCGATCTAACGACAGGTAGCTATTCTCTTGATCGTTACAATGGAAGTCCTCAGGGATTGTGCTCGGACCGGTAAATGACGCTTAAATTTGCTGTGAATTAACACCTCGTTTCCTAGTCAAATGCTCTAACAAGTTAAACGAGGTCAACTCGTTCCCAGAAACTGGTATTTCGAGAAAAATTTTACTTCCATGAATATCAAAAGATTAAGAGTCTTAATTTCGAGTTGAAATCTTAAGGTCTGTTCACACGATCCAATTTTGTTGGATCCAATTCACTTCTGATGTATGGGATAAAGTCAGTTACTCAAAAAGCTGTACTGCGTTGGCTTCCAGTTGATTTGCTGCCCATATACTTTGCAAGTCAACAGACTATAAAACATCCATCAGAAGTGAATTGGATCCGACAGGTTGGATCGTATGAACGGACCTTTACACAACTTCAAATCCAAGCCAGTGGCAAGACTGCCAAGAGCATTGCACGGGCATCGTAAGGGCGTAGATTCGATTCCTGCCGGAGGATCGATAGTTGATACATTTGTCTCAACTGTTCCTGGCTTGAATCCCCCCCCCCCCTACGAACACAAGCCTCTAAATTTAGACCCTATTTACGAATACAAAACAATCCATATTGTGTCGACTGAGCAGAAAAATGGATTAGCGTGCGTGATTAACTGATGTCACTTTCAGTGATGTATATTTTCCGGCGACTTCGACAGACCAATGCCACTTCAGACAATGATCTTTAATTGTTTTTATAGCTTAACTTGTTAATATTTGTTTACGAATGATCTATTGTTTGTTTATTTTCGAGTTTAAAACCAAAAACAAACACTTGTTAACCACTTATACAAATATTATCAACATATATACATATGCGCCCACCATTGTTCTAAAGAGGTGCATAGTCTAGTAAATAAGTCTCCTTTCTAAAGGAACAAGTGTGTCCATGTCAGACCATGCTACCATATTTGTATGCCTCACAAACAGTTCCTTCAACTTCAAAGAGTTTGTATATACCAAAAACATTTTATCAATTTTTCTTTTTGTCTACATCAGGAAGATAGCTATAGACGTTTTTCTTTGTCAGAGAAAAAAACATTCAGAAAAGAGAAGTCGCTATTTTCATGCACTAAAGATACGGCTGGTGGGATATTGCATTCTATTGTATCTATTGTAGCTACGAGGTTATTAATTGCTATGCACTCATGTGATATTTTCCCCATCTGTAATTTATTAGACAAGATCTGCAGACGCCCGAGATTAGATAACAATGTTATACGACGTAAGTCATTCACAGTACGATGACCAATTTAGGAAGATCTTGTCCCCCGGATTCTGTTTTTGTCTATTTCAAAAATGTAGGCTTGCGGTCATAAAGAATTACGATCGAGAGGTTAAAAATTTCGATACCATGAAAAAATCAAAGGCAAAACCCTTTAGTGGAACTGAATTACCAGCCGTTTTTAGACATAGTACACAAGAGGTATGATCAAGACTATACGAAGACTATATATGAAGACTATACGAAGACAATACGAAAACTATACAAAGACTATACGAAGACTATACGAGACTATACGAAGACTATACGAAGACTATACGAAGACGATACGAAAATTACACGAAGCGTAAAGTGACTGTACCAGTGGTATAGTCATCACAGCAATAGCATGTGCTTGTTTAGTGTCATAAAGACTTATTCCAATACCTCCAAGACTAAAATCCTCGTTGAGTCTCAGTCTCAACCGGGCAAATGTGAACAGCCCCTGAGGCTGTAAGAAAAAAGAAGCTCAGATTTTCTCGAAACACCCACATTGTTCTCAAAGCACATGAAAGATTTTAGTTCCCTGGAAATTTTAAATGCTTCTAATTGTGTTAAAGGAGCACAAATCACCGTAATCAGGTAAACGAATAAATTTCCATCAAATTAATTCTGCCACATTGGCACGTGTACGTGGTCATTCGACAGTTTGAACTGAAAAGTTTTTTAAAATTGCTTACGGAGAAAAAGCGGATTCCAATAAAAAATTGCGATGTAGCGTTTCTTTTATAATTCGTTCCTTCGTCCAAGTTCGATTGACTTAAATACAGGAGGTTTTTTTACAGATGAAATATTCGTGTAACATTTTCAACCGAAGCCCCCCTTTGGGTCTTGCGATTTCCCGCGGTTTTTGGGTTATATCATAGCCCTGCTTTTGGCAGACTGGTTAACATTTTGATCAATCTTTGGAGGCTTTACATAAACACAAAAGAGCTATCTGCATACCAGATGTTTATGCTATAATTGTGGCTGCTATCTTGGAGTTGTCTTCTGACATAATTAAGAGATCCTTAACGAGTATCTCCTGACGCTTCGAGCAGATGTATATCTGAGATTAACTACAGATATTAGAGAGCTACACCCTCAGCCACGCATGTCAATAACAAGGCTATGTTTTCTTACGGATTAACAGGATGAGAATTTTTCAAGTTCACACTCCCACTGACCTAAAAGACGCACTGGACAGAGCAGGCAGGCAGGCAGGCAGGCTGCAAGTGTATTTGAGTTTTACAACTGTACCAAATTTCGTGACTGTTGACATTTTAACGAGTTTTACGCCAGAAAGAATTCTCTCGCTTTGTACAACATTGAAAAAAATCGCTCTCAAGAGTCCTTTCTAATGAGTTTTAAAACGCTCTAAAGACCACATAATGAGATTTACGACTGTAATAATTGCACGAGCTTTGATAAACCATTATTCACCGCAAAACTAGAAAGAACCACTGACGAGGAGTGAGCGAGTGATGATAAATGTTTACGCAGAAAATGGACCTTTGAGTTTCTTTCACATCCCACAAGCATCGTCCAGTTTTCATCAATTTGCCGATACCGGTCTTCAGCACTGATCGAAAAGTACGAACGTGCATTGACATATGTGCGTTGCCAATAAATTGAATGTGGTGTAAACTAACGGGGCTTTAGGCAATATTTTCGCCTTCCGCATACTTTGTTAAAAGGTATATAGAAGCTTTTCAACATCTCTCTCAATGTTTTGTCCCCAAAGCTGGGGCGTACACTGTACACCGTTTTTTACATGAAGTAATTTCATTCTGGAGGGTAAAAATATACATACAGGTTTAGAAAACGTTCACGTAGTACTAAATTATAGCGGTAACTATTAACTTCATGAACGTGATTCCCGAATCATTGTCCCATTGACATCACGTTAGGAACCGTCTGACAAAACAACTCATTCAGGTTATCTAAAATTGACAAGAATCAAGCAAGCTGGCGTATACAGTTACGATCAAGTGTCAAAGGTGACATTGGATTGTCTGATCATCAAATATGTTTATCACAGCAGTACATGTTAGCTCAATAGCATAGCTAGCCTACCTGCACGCTCAAAAACAGTTCGTTTAAAAATAACAATGTGCAAATTGATGGGCCGATCATTTCTTTGTCAAATACACGCTATCAGATACGCTAATCTTTATAAGCTTAAGAATATGGCGTCTATAACGTTATCTTAAGAACTTATTAAATGTTTTGACAATGAAATACAACTAATTCGTGCCACATGTAAACAATTTAAAAAACAAGAATTGTTTACGACGTGAGAACGACCACAGACTACCCGATGCCATATAGATTAATTTCGGAAAGATTGTACAATTTTGCCACGCGAATATCCACCGCAGAATTTTTTTTTTAACTAAGCGCACGTCAGACATTAATATTTACACAGAACAGCTTAAATATCGGCGTTGGTTCTTTGTGAAGAGTGTAGTCGAAGATATTTTTTAAGTGATCATTTTTCCCCTTGAGAAAAAGCTTTTGCAAATAGCTTGGTAGTGGAGAAATTCGTGTAGCATGTAACTACATGGTAGCATGTAACTACATTACAATAATCGCAAAATCCAAAACCCTGGAATTCGCTGAAATTAAAGCTATTAGGAGCCGCTATATATGAACATTCTGTAGTGATGCTTTTCGCTAAATGTCATATGATTGAAGGAATTTTTGTATGAGAGGTGGTGACCACACACTCGCAAAAACAAATGCAATAAACTTTGGCTTTGACGTTTACTGTTGGAACAGGATATAGTTACTTGTTCGAAGACAATGCAATCTGTTAACTATTCGAAGAATGGGGGCCCTTACTGTGCATATAATCTGTCTCTCGATGTGATGCTATGCGGGAAGTTTTTGAGGTACTTTTGATTTATCATCGATTCCCAAGAGAAATTAACGTTTCATCGATCATAAACTGCCATACTGCTGTTTAGGATAAACAAATTTCAAAGGAGGTTTGTTAATTTGTAAAAACAACATTATCTTATTATCTGCACGTCTATCCCGCAAACCAAAAGCTTTCACTCAGGTGACTGGGCATTAGGCGAAAAAAAAAGTGAGCTGCACATTAACAAATATATACAGGAAACGGGAAATTTCGAATTACAATGCAATAATAAAAAACTTGAAATAATTCTTCCGGAATCCTAAACCTCTAGTGTTTGCTAATGCACATCTCGAAATCATGTTTCTTTCGAAAAAAGGGTGCTTACGAATAAACATATGTTCAGAATCTTAGGACAGGTGATTGTATCGAAGAAATAAGTTCATAAAACTGGGCTACGTATCAAAATATGCGACAAAAGAATAAAAAAAGCATATCTATTTAATTAAATAGCGAATTCTAGAACCTAAATGAACAACTTTGTGTTCACTTTGTACATAGCTATATTTCTTGAAATCTAATTAAAAATATATTCGCCCAATGGGCCATATTTGCTACATGTATATGTATATGTAACAAAATATGTATCAATCTCGTAAACATTTGTTTATGATTTAACAAAAATTAAATTCTAGCTTTGTAATTTTTTTCGGCTAAAAAATTCCGAAAAAATCGTCTCACATAGAGCGGTGTAAGCAAATATGTTAAATTATAAGAAAAAGATAATTCTTTATCAGCAAAAGAACTATAACTTTGTCTGAGTTTTTGCCTACGAAATAATAATTCGCGTATACACAATCGCCCGAACAGGTTTAAAAAATTCTAAAATTCTATGCATAATGTAACCGTAAGTTTTAGTAAAAAAACCTTGTGTTTGTGCACATTAATATGGTTCCGACGGTGAGCAATTTGATATTTTTCCATTCCACCTAGACGGCTGTGATTTTTTATACTACCGATTCATTAGTTCATTTAATTCATTACCTGAATATGAGAAGACGATTGGCGCTCGCTAAAAATCAAATAGACTATATGAAATCTACTTCTAGTGTATATACAGGTGGTTTTTGAGGCGTAAACATTGGCAAACTTAGGGCGGAGCAAGGAATAACCCGCATAAAAACATCACAAACACGCGCCGGTCTTTGCAAAAATTCCCAAGCTATTCCCATGTCTGACAAAAAGTTACACAATCGTTGGCTGGCGTGTTACAGCTTTCCTGTTATGCTTTATATTGTTTTCACATGGTAACAGATTAATAAAATATATTGCCTTGATATGCACGAACAATTACGAATAATAGCCTTAAGAAATATACTATAGTGAAAAATATACATACACGATTGCAGTTCATATAGTATTTACTTTTCACCCAATAACTCCACCCGAAGTTAAAGTGAAACCTCTCGATGTGAAGAATCATGCATTTTCGTTGAGAAAACTCGATGAATATTACAATTCTGTATCTACTCGAGTCTACCCTTGTTTAAAAGAGTCATCCTAATATCCCAAATATACCGCAAATTTGCTTCGAAAAGCTTTTGAATTAAGAAAGAAGCGATTTCCCGTAAAAGGCGAACAGATTCGGTTACAATCTCCATTCGCAGGCGAATACAATATGACCGTGGCCAAAGACAAACACACACGTACGTCTCAAAGAACACAAAAATAGCCCTACATAATACTATTTACTTTTGGTCGCGATAAAATACGACTAAGTGCCTCGGTGCGAGGCTATTTTCAACCGAAGATGGCAGAATATAGCATCAGACTTAAAATAAAACACTTTAAAATAAGCCCGTTTAAATGCACGCCAAAAGTAAGTTACGGCAAACGGAATTGCATTTCGCCAAAAGCGCGGCGAAATGGCCTCTAAATGAAAGGTTATTGTCCGGTCTATTTCGTGATTTCATGGAGAATTTATCACTATAGATCACGGCATAAATATAACTATCGTAGTCAACCATACCTGTCGATTTCTTTCGTCGCCAATTCGCGATATTTGTATCTTTTTTCGTCCCATTTTTTGTAGACAAATTCTAGAGGGGGATATTTACACGGCAGATTCTGTAAGAAACAAGACGGTGTTTACAATTAGACAGGATTCTATGTCGATCAAAGATGCGATATGTCAAAATCCACTTTGACGAGCTTCAACTCAGCTCGTGGGAGATTTTCAAACTGCGGGTGTTTAGAAAATATTGCCCCCAAAATCTTCGCAGGTCATTGCGAAAATTTCGATATATACAGCGATGAGATTTGAAAAGTAAACTGCAAATTAAGTTAGTAAACTAGTCAGTAGTCAGGTGATATGTGTTCATTTCATTAAAATTGCCCCGTTGAAAACATTGCGTGCCGAAATGATGTAATCGCAGGCCATTCTGAATTTCCAAATTTCATACGGTAAAGACTGACATGTTGTATATATTCCTTTGTAAGTTATCAACCGACCCAATTCAAAACCTTCAGGCATTTCTCTTAGAAATGCGTGCTCGTAAAAGCGTGAATGAGAAAGCCATTAGCTAGGAGAATATTATATAAACAGCAGTAGATGCCTCGACCAGATATTTAAGGATTATCGTGTTCTGAAAAAATCAGAATAAACTTCGAATATAGCAATCGCTCTTATGGGGTAAATCGTTTCCGACACAATATGCATTTTATCGTGTGGGGGATAAATTACTGTAAACCAACAATATAAATACCACAGCAACCATTAACAGCCTTGAACGATAGATGGCACGCGAAATTACTAGCACAAATTTTCGCTCGGAACTTAAAATCACCTTCTCTTCTCGCAAACGAAACTAAACGCTCCGGGAATGCAAAATGGAGGCATATAGCTAGAACTCTTTGATAAGAAATGAGCAACCTTTGACCCAGTTTAAAATACGTTTACAAGTTAAAAATATCGACATCTAAAAGTAGCAACGATCCTTTTAAATATACAGGAACACTCGCGATAGTTTTACACAAACAATGTGCTACCGCGGACATTACAGGCAGACGATATAAATATATATATCGAAATTTATTACACATTGAACTATAATGTAGCGGAATACACAGGCTATTTCGCTGATAAATCGCCTCATCATAAACAGACGTATAAACCCGGGGTTATACAACGGAACGGGTCTAAATTTAGAGTCTAAATAGTACGCGATTTCGCGGGGAAGGCCAGAATATCTCGATACGGATACAACAAGCCTGTCCAAGTACCCGTTTCGATTCTTCCTGCCGTCACCGAGCATTCAAAACCGATTTTATTACGTTCAAACAGTTGTACAAATTCGACAAACATTCGCAGTATACAGTACACAAACTACACAAGCTTTGCATTGCGATAAAACGCAAATCCAGTACGCGAAAGTCGTCGAATTTGCTCCAATAACATCTGCTAGTTTAGGAATAACAACGTAATAACAAGCCAGCGAATGCTAGCCAAAATATACATGCATTCGCTTTGCTAATAATACAGGGATTTAGGGCGAATGTTTAAACTCTATTTATGACGGAAATAAAAATTCAGAAATCTATTTTTACCCACCAGTTAGAGCGTTCTTTCCCCAACAGCTGCAAGTGACAATATGTGCTATTTGTAGTAACACATAGGCTGCAATATTAAAGCCAGTGAAGCTGTAAGAAGGCCGAGGAAAATATGCTTTCCCAACCCTCCCTTCTGATTCGCTCACTCCACTTTCCCTCTTGACGGTAAAAGGAATTTATCATTTGATCAACAATACAACACTTTAAACCCCCTCCATTTTTTCAATCTTTAAACAATCCAACATCAAAAGCAATAAAAAGCACCTCAAATTACACCTTTATAAATCACCACCTCAAGACCGTTGTCAACCCGAAATAAAAACGGATTAGTTCTTGTCATTTAGAAAGAACGTTCATAACTTCTCTTCAAGCTTCCATCTTCGATTTCTTAATTTAAGGCTGACGTAATTCCGCGAGGGAGGGGCTTCTGTCGGTGAGTGAAGGTGTGGTGTGACGTCATATCCGTTTTAAGAAGACGATAATTTCCGCTTTATCGGATATTATGGGGATTCTGTAGAACTTTAGAAGGGGATTAAAATGATAATTTGTGTTTTTTCCATAGCTACCTCGGTTACGATTGCCAAAGGGTAATGTGCAAAAGACACTTAAGAGCAATATAACATCTCCAACCCGATGTCTGTAGATATTTTGTAGTCCTTAAAATTGACATACTAATATTATGAAATTGACAACATATTCCAAGGGTTTGATTGTTTTAATAACTGAAATGTATTTCATAACTTCCGACACATATACAAAAGAATTCGGTTGTATTTGCATAGTGAAACGACTTCAACAGATGGCCCATTTCAACTTTTAGAGACCGACGGTCATTTTGAGGCCCATATTATACCGTGTAAATAAACATAGTATTAACACTCTGGACACTATCCCGTCGGCCATATATGCTATTCAAATCGCACAAGAGTAGCCGGTTTTGAATCGATTTTAATATCGAAGGAAGAACGCTGACTTTTTTACGCCGGTTTTGTACAAATTGAATCCAGTATTCTCGATAACATCTCGCGAGAGAAGAACGCCGACTTTATGCGTTGGGACTCAATGCTACTAATTGGAGTTACCCATGAGAAAGATTACCAGAAGAAGGTGCCTGAAACGTTGCGAAAATAAACAAGATTTTAAGCCCTTTATTGTGATTTTGGTCACGTTTTGTAAGAGCCATGGCCCATGTAAAGCATCTACAATTCTTGTTAAAGGTGCACTGCGGAAGAGCCTGTTTCCTACGATGATAAACGCTTTATCACCGTTGATCACGCTATATTTTCGCCACGTCTTCGTTCCTTCGTTCGTGAAGAAGCCGGTAGCCAATGGTTATTGGTTAAACAAATTTGTCATAATTACTCATTACTTCAGTATCTGGCATTAAGAACCCTAATGCTTAGTCTTTCATTACTCACCAAATTTGTCCCGCCCCACTGCAATTCGGAAAGGGTAATTGGGAAATTAGGCATTTCTTCATTCGCGTGTCAGACTAATTTTTCATCGAGACAAACCCAAATTAATTGCCACAGGCAGAAACAGAAAGGATACATTATTCTCAATTTTACAATTTTTTTATAAATACAAGCAAATCGCCTATTACATTTAGTTAAATTATGGGCTTAGAAGGCCAAATGAATAACTTGATATTTTCACTTTGAAGAATTTTGCAGCGTCACTTATTGCAGTGGAAATTTTATACAGAGATTTTCAGAGGCTACGACGTAGGCTAGATTTTATGGATGTGATCAAGATTCTAATTTGATTCTTGAGCCATCAAATCAAAAATAAAATCTCAACGATTTTAGATTCTAAGTCCCATGCTAACACAAAAATCGAGCCTAGATTGGTGTTTTGGTACCGTCAGTCTGTGCGAGGTGACTGAATTGCCATCGGGGGACACCGTTAGAGGTTGCTGTTGTGGTCGTACTGAATGAAAGGTATCGTGTGTAAATTGAGCCGCACATGAAGTCTACAGAACCTGCTGGCTGTCTGAAAGAGGTCATAATGTGGGGTTCATTAGGAAGATCAATAATTTTGCAGGTGGCAACACTGCGTTGATAAGCAACGTTATTACTCTCCGTTCTCATTATAACACTCTACGGAAAAGGAATCATCCCTTCCTTGTGAAAGGGGAAAAAACTGTTTGAAAACACGACCTACAATGCTCTATGATGCCTTGAATAAAACAACAAACATAGACAGTTCTGTTCTCCAATCAAAAACTATAGTTTCAGCCTATAAGATCATATGTTATTTATGACTAATCCAGTATTTATTTTAGAATAACTTCATTTATATCGGATACCTCTGTCAGTTCCAAACTATTCTTCATAGAGGTTCAGAAAGGCTCATCTCTTATTTATCAAGTGTAATACTACAGGCGGAAACGTAAACATAACTAACATTAATAATGCTGAACTATAGGCTAATACTGATTGCTCTATTCTTTCTAACGGCAGTAAATTAAAGATTATATCAAGGCCAGTAAGGATAGTATATCTTCGATTGGTCAAGTGCGTCAAGAAAAGCTAAACTATAACTTTATTAATACTAGATATCTCTTGAATCTCATTGTTTAATATCATATGTGATATGGCGTGTTGGGAAAATATTTTTTTATTCAGCCTTATTGCACTCCATCTGTTCCAAACTGTTCTTCATTATGCACCTAACTTTCTGAAGTGTTACAAATGAGATACAATACAAATAATTGTTGGTTGTATAGCTGCTTTTGGTAGGTAAGACAAGGTCTCGCGTTTAACGATGCGATAAATTGCTGGGAAAGGAAACATCTGTCATTCTGAACAAAAAAACTCATAATGTATACACACAAGTAAAGTATTTTTCGGTTACATATTAGGAAAGCCTCATCATCGTCTCTTCGACACCCTATAATTATAAGACAAGGTCTTTTTCCAGGTATTTCCTGTCGATTTAAGTGTATGTAAACCACACACTCAAAAATCGACGGGGTATACAAACTACTGATAAAAACCACGGAATTTAGTCGAAATGTAATCGAAACCTATATGGCTATATCATATCATTTCTCCTCCCACAGAGATCCCACGACGACTGACCTCGAAAGGTAACTAATTAATAAGTTAAACTGGAGCATGGAATTTATACAAGTCCGATTAACGTGTGACAGAAATTTCCCGGGCGGGGGAGAGGCACAAAGGACACCACTTATCAGAAGCGAAAGACCGCGTATATCTCTCCAGCATCGCAGAGGAATTTGGACTGTTGAAACACCGAGTGCTTGTTTAAAAAGTGAAACCTACACCCACTAGTGCGGTTTGATTTCAAAAGAACATTCCTGACTTCCCCAACCTAAAGTTTCCTGTTCGGTACAAAAGAGGTTTCAAACTGGCCAGCAGCCCACATAAAATTCTCCCCAGAAACGACTACACTTGCTAGCCTACACTGTTCCTTGCCACGTGAAAAATTTCTTTAAACAACCAACAAAACCCCACCGGAGTTTGTCACTTTGTTTTGGTCTTTTTCGCCAAAAAGTGACCTTAAAATTTTGAAAGCTATATTGCCTGCATTTGGCAGGCAAAAAGACCTCAGGAGCGATTTTGATGCTTAAAGACGTAGGCGTAGCCGAGGATCTTTCTTGCACAATTTCGGAACGGCTGATCGAATTCTTCTAACTCTGGGAATTAAACCAGCGAGTTCTGTTTTCAAAGATTCATGCATACAAGCAAGAAAGACTTTTATGAGTTATGTCCGGTCAAATTGATTGCATGATAACATCATTATAATAGCATTCCGCTTGATCGTGAAGAAAGGAAAACTCAACTATTTGTAAGTCACAACCCCCTTTAATTGCATCCGCAAAAATTTTATACACCCCGGCTGGGAAGTCGTATATTTCTGTAAATGGGAAATTATTTCAAACGGCTAATTTGGGAACAAAGACTGCGATAAAAATGTAAGACATGCTTTATTTCATCATGCTCATAAAATTTAAAGCCGAATTGCTAGAAATGCTATAAAACCGATTATTAAAAGTCATAACATTAGCAAATATGTTTTGATCTAAAATAATATACTATGGTCTCTGTTAAATTTGCATTGAATGATGAATTTGAAGCTTTACGAACAAGTTCCTATACGGCGACATCTTTTTAACCCCGAAAGCATGGTTTAATTTTTAACTGAATAAACATTTAATCGAAAACACGTCATCAACCTACCTTTGTAAGTAAGCTACTTCTTCTGTAATTTTCAAAGCGCGCGGGTACTTGAATTATACTGTTCTTTTTTCAGTTATACCGTCGCTATAATCGGCCGCGGAGATTGAAAATAAGTTCCTTCTAAAACAGAACTAAATTTGCACGGCTTTCGTCCAGACCAGGCTATCTTTGACACAAATAATTTGTAGTAGTTGGTAATATTTTACCCGTAAATCGTTTCCATGGCATCAGTGTCGGCGTGAACTTAATTGTCAATTTTTAAGAGCGGACTTTATATCATGCATATCATTTAAGATTACACAATTGCAGAAGATACAGTATATCACAACAGCGAAGCAATATGGCTTATTTTCAACTTTAGAATGTATGTTTTTCCTAACTAAAAAACAAGTAAAGCACTCCGGGTGCATGCATGATATAAAACGCTATTAAAGTATAGCTATAATTTTAATTGTCCAGTTGATAAAACCGTTTGGCATTTGCCCAAATTAACTCTTTGATCAATAATTTCTTAACTGCTTATTCGATGATGGTTAGAATAGAGGGAAATCACCTATTTATTGCTCTTAGGGCAAAACAGTATAAATTTACCAAAATGACATTTTTATAACCGTAAGTAAATATAGCCAGATAAAACTATTTCTCTTGAAGGTCCAGTATAGGAGTAGACTGTTGTTTTTACAGAATAGAGTTCTATTGTAAAGGCCCAAAAAGGATCGTCTCCTATTAATTCAGTGCTACTACAGGAGGGAGCCTGAAGTAAATTAACTTCATTTGATAATGCTTGATATAGCTCTATCAGTTCCTAACTGTTTTTCCTCAGGGTCATCTCTTATTGATCTTGTGTTACTATTTCTTCCTGTAGTAACACTGGGTCAATAAGAGATTATCCTTACTGGACCTC